TGTTTTGAATTGTTGCTCTTAGACTTAAGTAATTCCTTATATAATTTTTCTGGATGCAAATTATTTTACCCTCTCAATCTCCCAGCCTAGAAGATTCTATTCTGAAGGCCCATTTTCTCACAAAAACAAGCAAAAAAAAAAATTACTTCATGCAACTGAAGTGACATATTTGTTCTATTGCCTTTACAGAAAAAAAAAATTCATTCCCTCACTGTGTACATTCCTTAATTTCTTCTCCCATCAAGTCACTGATAGCGATTATGGCTGCTAAGAATTTAGAAATATTTTGTTGATATCGTGGTTATATCACAATGTTTCTTAAAGCACTGAATCAGGTTTTCTAATCAACTATCACCCCAAAGTACATGTTACTGTCATCTTATTTAAAAGCTGCTACTGAACCACAGGCTTTATTCAGGTTTATGATCTCGTTTAAGTATCATTAAATGTCTATGGTTATAAGAAAAATAAGTGTTATTAAGAAGTGTCAGAAAAAGGGGGTCCTGCTGCCCCAGAATATGGTTACTATTTAGCAACATTAAGTCAATGGTTTGAATACACTGCTTCACAGGTCTCAGGAAAACAAACACATCTACTCCCTGTGTGTTAAATATTACAAAATACTACAGTGTTGAAAAAGTATGACCTTATTTTTGTAATGAGGGACGTGCATCTGGTTAGCAACTGACTCCTAGGTTTAATCATTCAGCATTAAAAATACTTCACCAAATGATAAATGATTTAAAGAAATTTCCATTTCAGAAAATCTTTCACAAGGCAGCCCACTATCTCTAGGGAGCTTCCCGTTACAGGAAAAAATAATATTTAATTAGACTCTAGCATAGTAAAGAATTAACAGCCAGCTTTAGTTTTCCTTAAAGCACCTGGCCTTACATCCCTTTTACTGAAATAAAAATGCACTATTAGATTTTTTGCATTAAAGGAAACAGAAAGAAAACAGTAAAGCAAATACCTAGTTTTCGGTTTAACAGTAATTATGAAAAAACCTCTTACCTACACTGTAAGGAAGTAGGTCAAATGCAGTCAAGCAATCTCAGCACACGGTTCCTGCTACAGTCAACTGTTATTTATGGAAAGGAAGCACTGGGCAAAATAACTGTACTAGAAATCAAAGCTAAACATAAGAATAACCCTCCTTATTTTTGATGTTATGGAGAAATAGGAGGGAAAAGCCTAAGAGATGGAAAGATAAAAAAGGAACAAAGAAGAGCAAAACTGAACCAACACTTTTTAAAATCCCGCTAAGCTTATTATACGCACACTGAAGCTATGATCAAATCAGTTTCTTCTGGAGCTTTTGGCCTCCTTTGCGAGGAAGAGATGGGTTGGTTGGTATTATTTCCAAAGTAAAATATCTGTTGATAGAGATACGACACTGATGCAACATGCAGAGCTGTTCTGAAGGTGCAGACAGACACAGAGCTGAGATTGGCGGTCTTTCATGCAAGAGCAGGTCCCACTTAACGCTGGGTTGCTCATGCAAAAGAAGAGGGCTGTGAGCAGCGCGAACGGTCTGCAAGCGCTTTCCCATTCCTTGTGAGAAGATAATTCTCATTTCTGAGCTATTATTGGCCAAAAGAATTCCCCTGTGTAACTGTGCAATAATAGCTGAGACCTTGATTGCTACCAACAGTTAGTAGTTTGTTGCTAACAAGGCAAACATGACAAACAATTTTGAGGCAATTACTGCCATTACAAGGCACAGTCAGTTGTTCAAGGGGAGTGTAATGGAAAGTGACAGTTGTGCAGCTGGGACGGTGGTGCGGGAAACACGATTGCTCCCTGGTTGCAACACACTGGTCAGACTGTAGCCAACAGCCTCCTAAATGTGTAATCCATACTTAATAGTGCCTGAACCTCTGAAGCAACTTACAGTATAACATCAGAAAAACAACAGAGATGTTAAAAAAGAAGATGGCTTATAAAATGATGAGAGAACGTATATATTTAGAATAAAAACGCAGAGGGAAGAAAAGGCATTTAGCACAGCCAACACACAAGATGCTTGCAAACTTGTGGCTAGCAAGTGAAAATGCAGAAATTCTACATACACTACTACAAGAAGCCGGTATTATTAAAATACTTGGTTTCCTGAAAACTACACTCAGCTCTCCAAAGGAGTCGTAATCATCTTAAGGACCAAAAGTTTTTAATACAACTGAACCAACATTTCAAGCTGTTACACCAGCTCAAGATGATGCATTTTCACTGACACGGTAAAAGTGCTCGGAGTCATTATGGTGTCACCTGTAGCGCCTCGTGCTTCTGCACCGATACTGCTTCATCTCTAAAGAAGTCATTAACGTGCCAGTGGAAGTAGATTTCTCCAATTGCCTTGTTTTCTCCTCTTGGTTTTTTTTCTTCCCTCTTAAATATATTTGTCTGTGCAGATCAAATTACATCAAAGCAGATCTGATGGGCCAAATCACCCCAGGTGTAGCTCCCCTGGAGCAAAATAATCCTATTAGCACATGCCAAGTTCTCTCCCTTTAACTCTCTTCGGTCAAAAGTATTAATTTTCTCTAATGGAGCAACATATTATAGCTAACTTTCTGTCTAAAGAAACAGATAAGGCTCAACCCATAAGCTTAGCCAGAAATATGCACATGTGACTTGTACCTTTTTTCTGTGTTCTGTAACGAATTCAGCGCTTGGGAAGGGTGACAGGGTGGCAGCTATGGAGAGGGGACCTTCACTTATCCTCAGAAGAGCTAGTGGGCGGCAGCAGCAGAGACCTTCCTCGCTTGTCCTGCCCGTCGGCCTCAGCCCCCATCTCAGCACAAGGCTGAGACCTTCATTCGGGCTCTGCCGCCCAGGGCAGCGGAGCAGCGACCGCAGCCCGATGCTCTTCTCTTCTGTGGGCTCTTCTGCTCAGGGAAATTAAAGAAAGATCACTAACGACTACACCTAAAATTTCATATTACTAGCACAGTGACTGCGCCCATCTCTTCTATCTTTTCTATCTCACCGTCCTGATATCCTATATGAGATATCATTCAGAAGATTTATTGTGCCACGCATAGTAATGCAAAGTGACTTTTTGGTCAAAATTGTCACAAGTTTCATTGGCTCTAGCAAGACTGGAAGGTTTGAAAAAATCAAAAAAAAAAAATCCATGAGCACTCTTGACCCCAAGCTGAACGTAATTTTCAATTGCATGACACTTTGCAAAAAAGGGCAAATTATCTTTATAATGCCGAAATATTTTTATAAGGTAAGAGAGCTACATCCTGCATTCTTAACCAGCACAAAGCCTCATGATTAAGCAGAAATTCTTCTTTAAGAGTAAAATGCTTACTACCCCTGCATCTCCGTATATCTTGTTATACAGTTACACCTCGTATAACTGTATAAACATCACTGGTAAGCGGTATAAATACCACTATAGCTGTGTCAGTAGTGACCTACAAAGTCACTATGAAGTAATAGAAAATTGAAAAATTGAGAAGTTTTCTAAAAGTACATGAGGTTGCAGACAGAAAAACTGTCCAGCTGGCAGGATGCTTTTTATTTTAATATTATTGCTAAACCTGTGGCAATTTCTCTCTATCCCACACAGCATGGAAATGGCATTTTACTAGTTTGCTTGTGCTTTGTTTTGAAGCCTCAAGAAGCCAAGTCATTAAGTTAAAGACAGACACCCAGACTCTGCAAACATCTGCACTGATCTTCACTGGGTCTCTGTTGGGGTCAAGTGGATGTGGACCTCAAACACCACAGGGATTTGTACCTCATTTCAGTGCCAGGACAAAATTAAAGCCCCAGATCCCTTAATGTAAATGAATTTTGTAAATTAATGTAAAAGATTTTTCTACTGAAAATTCACAGTTTACAGCAGAAAGATTGCTGTAGGTTTAGTGCTGTGAAACTGCTGCTCTTGTATTGCCTTTTTCCTCCCCACTCACTTTAGTCAAAAACTGACCCAGCACTCGGGCAGCAACAGAGATTTACTCTGCTATGCTCCTTTGCCAAAATATCCTCGCTTTGGCCTGCGCTTGCTGTTTGAACCCATACATCTTGCTTAAATTACTGCATGGAGAAAGCCAATAATTTAAGGCAATAAGTCCAGGTTTCACTAGAATAAAGATAAAAGCTGAAAGAAGCCCTACAGCACAACCGGTTCCGAATGGGAAGAGGGATGAAAAACTTGACTTGGACCCAGTTCAGAGAGCACACAAGAAAAGGCAAACATGGGAATGGCTAACTCTGCACCAGCATGTGGGTACACGGTTTTGACAACTTAGTCAGCTAATGCTCCTTGTTCTAGGTGAAGTTGTTCAGGAAAGATATAGCTCTGACACAGAGAGCAAGTACCTGGGTGACTGACTCCATCAGTTCTTATAAACACCATATGAGAGAATGAAATGGTTAAAGTGAACAACCACAATCTGTTCAATCTACAGTGGAGAAAGCCCAGCAACCTCAACGTGTCTGGGCAGAAGGACCGGTACCAGCCGTATGACCACAGACTACTTGAAGGAATAGCTCCCCACACCATTAGGGTACAGTTTCTCACTTTTTTATAAATTAAATTAAAAAAGTAAGATTTTTTAAAAAGGAAAAGATTAGTAATAATCACCACATCTAAGACTTACACCATAACCCCTTTATAAGTTGAATCATCCCTTATTTTATTATAGCTAACAGCTAAGCACAGCCGCTAAACAGTGCTTGCAAGGACATTTATATATATGTATAAATATATAACTGCATCATTTTCAAAAAAATGAACCCCAACCTATATCCTTAATATGCTAAATGCAAACATTAACATGGTTTAATGCACTGTAGAAGAGAAACAGTGAGAACTTCTCACTGTAGGGAGAAATACTGAGAACAGGTGAATTCTTCCTCCTGCACTGAGTCACAGTCTAGATGAAGTAGTCCCACCCTTGATTTGTATTTGATAGCTCATATAGGGAAAAACAATACATTTCAGTACAAAACTCCCCCCCAAGCCATGTTACCTTCAGGGATGCACCCGTGCACGTTCCTAGTTTCCTTTCATCAGAGCCACCCCCTCACACTCCCCTCATTCTTGGTAACTAATGAGGCACCGCAGCCAGCCCACAAAACCACTCAGCAGCTCCTCACGGGCTCCCAAATAGCAGGAGAGGCAGCAATAAACTCCCACTGACCCTCCGTGTGCTGGACCTGCAGTCTTTACTGTAAGGAAGAAAAAATTAACAACAACAGCAAAAAAAAAAAGCAGCAGCAGCACGGGCTCCCTGCTTCAAACCCAGTTTGCAAGGCCGTGGTCTGAGCCAGGGGCGGCAGGTCGGGATGTGGGGAGCTCAGAGCGCCCCGAGCGTCACGAGGGGCAGGGACAGCCGGGCCGAGCGGGCGCACCGGGAAGCACGGACACGGCACGGACACGGCACGGACACGGCTGGCAGGAAAAACGGGGCGAGGAGGCGGAGAGGGCGCAAGGCAGGGAGCAGCAATCCGCAGTCCTGCTCCCCAGGCGGCTGCCAGGGAAAGCAGCTCCAAGGGACTGGTGAGCAGGTCGGCCTACCTCGCTCCCGAGCCGGGGATAAACTGATGGCAAATTAGAGCTGCCTTCCCTTGACGTCCCCGGGGACGAGCTCCTCTGCAGCTCCCCCCATGGCAGCAGCACCCTGGGGTGCTGGGGCTGCTCCCCGCGGCCCCTCGGCAGCAGGCGGGACTCAAGGCCCTGTCACCTAAGAGCACACAAGGCCAGTTTAAAGGCAGTACTGCCCTTTGTAGTTTCATTGCAACTTGAATATTACAGATAGTGATCACCAGTCCTTCCCACTTTTCCTTTCTTACTCAACTGCTCATTGCCCTTCAGCCAAACAAGCTTATATAGAGGATCTTCTGAAGCCTTAGCCCAGGGGCATGTACCAGGACTTCGGAGCAGGTCCTCTGTAACTTTCATTCCACCTCTTTCCATGTGATATTCCAGCTGATCCCCATTTTTACCACCAGCAGCCATCTGAACACACATATACTCTGTGCCTGCCTCCTCAGCAGCACCTACCTACCATGATGGCATTTGGAGGACTGGGGGCTGGTCTCATATTTGCCTTTATTCTCTTTAGGTTCAAATACCTCAACCACAAGAAAGAGAGCACAGAGTACTAGACTGAAAGACTTGGAGAAACCTCAGGTCAAATTTCCTATGGTGAGCTCTGCAACAGAGTACCAAAGACAAGCACCTTCCTAAATACACTGCAAGCACAGTACCAAGGAAAGAGGGTATGCAGCATCTTGCTCTTTTTATGTAGATAATCTAAGTATTTCACTAAACTGTGATAAACTGTAGAGGAGTCTTTCCACCTACCCCTCAGTGGGATGACTTGGGTCACCATGGCAATCCTCAGGATACACTGACTCCAGCTATACGCTAGTAACAAATCAGCCTGAAATCCACGGGAAAACAGTGATGAGTGTCTCAAAATATTCTCATGCTACCTTATATGAAAGGCCATAATAGCACACTGACAGAGCAGGTCACTTTTAGGTACTGTGGGTCTGTCACTCATGCTTCCCCAGGCAGCAGTTTTGCTAATGATTCCCACTAGCTTCCAGGGAGGGCATGTCCGTGGCTGCAGAAGCCACGTGCTGCCCCTTCCACCACAGACACCATTCACAGCGACCTGTGCGTGGACACTCAGCAGGTGCTCCCACGCCAGAGTGTTTCAGACACACCTCAGCCAAGCCCAACGCTGGGTCCCTCTGCCTGCAGACTGAACGTGCTGGCTCACAAATGCCCAGGGACCTATAAAACAGCTTGAGGCAAGGGGAAGGGATCACCCTAGAAACATGCACTCGTGGTCTGGTGATCGTTTCGGTGTCGGGCACTATATCTGCTATTAAAACTGTAAAAACTTATTGTGAAGGCTGTATACAGAAGCCAATCTACTGCTAAATTCACTTAAGTACCCTTTTGTCTTTCCTCTTTCCTGTTTTCACTTCCTTCCTTCTCCTCCTCTGTTTTCTTCTGATTTTCTTTTTTCCTGCACTCTGCTTTTTCCTACCCTTCTCTAATATCTTTCTTCTCCTTCAGCCCCTTCTCTCAAATCTTGAAAAACAATAATGCTGTAACTAGCCACACTCAAGATTGCTACCTGATAACAGCTCAGCATTGGAAAACCATGAAGCACAAAGAGCTGCTGTTTTAAATCTATCAGCAGATGTTTTAGCTCAAAGAGACGCAGAAATAGCTTTGCCTTGGGAAGATGAGCAAGTTCCATTTGGGAGAAAAAGAAGGAAAGAAGGTAGACTTCTCATAATTTTGTAAGATCACACTACCCAGAGTTCAAAGTCCACAGCACATTTATTTGCTATAGATTTTAAACACCAAGTGACAGATTTACAGTGTTTTACAACTCTTTTACCTGTTCTAATATGCTTAGATGTGGCAGATGAATCTGGTTGCAGCAGATTTCAAGACTTGAATGACAGGCATTTCTTCATAGGTTATTGCACTGGGCTAGAATTTTTACCCAAGGCACACGCATGCACCCATTTACTGTTAAGAGATACTTTATAAGCGAAACGCATTAATATATATGTAATTGATAACCTCTAAAGCACAGTTCTGCACTGAAAAAGAGATATAAAAAATAGCACCTTCCAAATCCTCCCTACAAATTCTTTATTTAGTAGTAGTATTATGTGTCTACCCTGAAGAGTCAAATTGCAACAAGAAAGTGAACTGGTTTCCCCTACTCCTGGTGCATCAATAAAATTGCTCCTTTAGTGACCATATGCAGATAGCAATTAAGTTAAATGTTATATAAATTTTGTGATAGTTTGAGGACACCAAGATAAAAGGCTGCCGTGGTTAGAATCTGTCCTATGAAAGTATCAACTTTATTAGTCTACAGAACAACAGATCCCAAGGTCCGACCCATAACCAGATCCTATCCCACACACAACATATCTGCATGCCTAAACAACTTGCAACCTAACAACTGAGATGGAAAGAACCCATCTTAACTGTCAAATTCCATATACTTGATATTCAGCAGAAACAGAAGAAGCACCTCTGAAGTGATGTATATGGTAGGGAAATCTAGAGTAAGATGCAAATATATTTGTTGGAGTAGCTACAGAATAGACCTGCACTTTTGGGTGCAGATTCCTGTGCATCTACGACCCACTGTAGCAGCCAGCACCAGAGAGGCTCTGGGTGAGCTCCATTCTCAAGGAGAAAGTTCACCCCAAACAAGGTACTTCTGAGACTTTCCCTAACCAAGGCTGAAGTCAAAGAGTATATGTAATCTATGCAAAGCAAAATTCATCTATTTCACAAGCAAAATAGCTTTGTGTTAGAAATAAACTTGAACAACTAAAGATTTTCTGTTTTCTTAATATTTTTCTATTTTAGTCTATCATTTTCATCCTTTCTTTTGACTACCATACCTCTTCTCAAACCACCATGTTTCTCTCCTTTTCTCATTTCTGTCTCTCTCTCATTTCAGCCACTAAAAACCTCTGCCCTCTGTGTTGCCCCAGAAAGATTTGAGTTCCATTACCCTTTTTGCCTATGTAAGGTCACATTATACATACATAACAATAATAAAATTCTAATACTTAACATATAGTGATCTTGAAGCACTCACTCGTTGCCTAAGCAACAATTAAATTAACCTGCAAATGCCCAACTTCATCCTCATGCTAAAACAAAGAGAATGTATTATTTCAAGTTGCCTAATGAAGCATATTATGAATAAAAGAATATAGCAGGGAGGGCACAGAAGGGGAAAGAGACAAGGAAATACCACTATTTTCTGTAGGAAACGAGAGCCTTACCATCCTGCTGGCCCTGGAGGGTCTGAGGACTTTGCATTCTCTCTTCAAGATTTGAGCTGAGGTCCGAGTTCACAGCTGACATCCTAGTAGAATCACTCATATCAAACTCATCACTCTCTATTGAGCTCTCATCCTGCAATTGAAAGTTTCAGAATCATATTAGAAAATGTCAGGATAACATATGCTGTTCACTATATGTAGTTTTAATTCATTCCCAATTATTTCACTCATACCTGAAGTGGAACCCCTACATTATTCCAATTTGACCGAGGAAATCTCTCCATATTCTGTGTCTGAATGTCCCACCTTACCCAAGTAAGGTAGGTTACCCTGTGAGTACCAACCAGAGTAATATTTCATAATAACAATTTGACCTAACAAGAATCCATGGCCAAATTCCCTTAGCAAGATGTCAACCTAATAACAACACTGTTATTATGTTTAGAGAAGTGTCTGAGAAAATGATATAGCTTATAAAGATGATAAAGATATATATATATATGACATAGATTATAAACATGATAAAATGACATTCAATGGTAATATAATCACATGAGAATCACCTGGAATTTATTCTGCCTCAGACATCTTTAATATGATTTTTCCATCCAGTTTAATTACAGTCTCTACTAGTAATAATAATAATAGAGGACAAAAAGTGCCAGTCAAAAAGCTTGTCCTCAGTTGATCTGCATAAGCAAAACAGATTCAGCCCTACTCCAACAAATGTTCACACGCATGTTTAACTTCACTTGCTTTGGTCCTGCTGTAATCATTTAATCTGTGGCATTTAAGCATTCACAAGCCTTTCTCTATTAGCTGCTGAGACAACACACAAACCAACAGTGATACATCTTCAGTAGCAACTTTTCTTAGATAAGTACTCCTGTTATGAACAAAAGCCATTTAAGAACATGCAGAGAAACAAGGCGGCTGATTATATATCTCCTGAAGAAGAGTTTTAAATACTTTTCCATTGAAGATAATTAACATTAGGGTGTCTTTTTCATTAAAACAGAACTTAAACTGACAGAATTCTGGCAATTTGGGGGTGAGGGGGTGTTGCTCACCAGAAGTGACCTAGAAAATGGTGTTTTCAATTTGACTTATTCTGGGATGCATTTCCACAGGCACTACAATAGTTGTTTTCCTCTCTTTGAACTGTTGTCCTTTAAATCTATTCCTCTCAGTGATTCTTCCAGCTTACATGGATCTAGTTTCTCTAGTTTGAGGAAGGAAATTTCCCCACAGCCAGCTCTCTTGTTGAGCTCCCAAATGCCATTCAGGAATGAGCCTGGGGAGAATTTCCCAGGCCATGCAGCTCCACACCTGGACAATTTTAAGTAATGAAGCAGACATATCTCGTTCTCGAAGTTTCATACAAACTGCAATGGGTTAGTGAGGGCTTCTCCAGGATCAGCTGCCAACCTTGCCCGCGGCACGTGGGAAGTGTCACAGCTAAAGCGACAGCAGATCCCAAAGTAACTCCATCCCACAGGAATGCAGGAAGGGATGACCGCCAGCCTCGTGCCCCAGGCAGACGGGGCTGGGAATTCACCAAGCTGGCTCTGAAGTTTAGGAAAGTGCATGCTGCTTTCTCAAAGAGCAAGGTCAGAACACAAACCCCCAGCCCTTCCAGAAGATTGTGCTTCTGGCAATGCACAGGGTATTTCCCATTGATTCCTGCAGGAATCAGCCGGCAGCAGCTTACATTTTCCAATTTGAGGTTAGGCAACCTGCCGAGGCTCCCAGGAAGGCAGCTTTGCTTATCCAATGCTCACACAGGTCTAAAAGAGCAGCACCACACCAAGGCAGCCTGCATGTGTCCATAGCACTGCGCAGAGTATCTCCCTGAGCTGTATAAAGCACTTATAGAGAGCACGTATCCGAGGCGCATATCCACACAGGCACGGGCAGAGAGGTTGTTGGCCAGGGGCTTCTTGGAACCAGTTGCAGCACCGAGATAAGTTCAACATTTTGACGAGTTTCCTGTAAGATCAAGTCTGTTTTCCTTTCATCGACAGCCTCAGCTTCGAAACGATGAACCAAGGGTGAAAGAATTAAGAAGCATTCAATCACGCCGCTAGCTCGTGGTGGCAGCCAAGTTCACTCCTGCCTCACTCTGCCCCTCCACAAGAACACAGGTATGATTGATGAAACCTTGGAAACGAGCCTTCCAGCAAACCCCAGCATGGGCTTTAAGCGCATGAAAGAGTTTGAATGCATGCAACAGAAACCTTCCTGCTTTGTACTGTAATATATTCACTACCATTTTATTCTTAGTGCAACAAATACACACCTTGGCCAAAAAAATCATTTTAGCAAAGCTAAAGAGGAAAGACAAAAAGATTAGCATGAAAACTTTCCTGCCCCATTGTGCCCAGGCAAACACATTGTTACTAAAACATGTTCAAATTACTTTTTTCTCCATTTCTATAGTGCTATGGACATTTCCTACGCAGTAACGTAAGAGACGCAAAATGGGCAGCTGGGCAGGAGATAGCAGGCAATGGTGCTTCCTGATGCCAACGTATTTTTGCCAACAGTTCATCTGGATGAAAGACTGGTTTAAAGAAAATTCCAATCATTGGACCAGAAAAGACGACAACAAAACGTTCAGGCTACAGAAACACCATGGCAGATGGTCCTGATCCAGCATGAATGCTGGACCCTATTGTGGCAGGAGTAACTCTCAATGGGAGGAAGTAGGGAAACCAAAAAGCCATTTAGCTCTCCAGGCTGCTGCAAGGATAAAGCCTATTACCTCCTGCTGCTTGAAATCCTGCAGCTGGATTCCTGACAAGGGGCAGTCTGTGGAGGGGAGACTCAGTATGAGGGAAAGGAGACTAAGCTACATTCCTGCATGAAGTACTCAGAATCAGGGATGTCTTCTCATACCCTCCTCGTTCCAAAAAAAAAAAAAAAGTGAAAAAGTATCCTGATTTTTTTTAGAAAAGTGATGAAATTCCCATTCAGTGAGGTATTGAATAATTCACAAATCTCCACCAGTATTCCATATACATTTATTATGAATCCAGATCTGTCTGACTTGACAGAAATCAAGAGTCAGTCGGGGTCTTTGCAACAATCCAGCTGCTAAAATTTATTTTAAAGATCTTCTTTATTAAAAAAAAAATCTTCTAGTTGGGCAGAAGGACACAGTATGCCGGGCTGATTTTGGCTGGCACATAGCAAGGCTTCTAACTATTTGGCAGCTCTATTGACAAATGAGCATATTTCTAACAAAACAAGTTTATTACAAATAATATTGCTACTTTCCATCTAATGCATGAAGCACTTTTCAAAAATCTGAAGAGCCTGCATAAATCACAAAAACAAAATACTTAAGAAACAAAAATGCCATCTAACTGCAATCCTTTCTGAAGAAGCTTGATGCTGAGCTTACTTCTCTTTTTTCCCATCATTTTAATTATTCAGCTCAGAAGACATCCCAAGGCTTATTTATGTTGATCTTTTACTTAAAGATTTCAGCTCATGTTGTTAGTGCTTCCATCAGGATCAGGATCAGCCAACATGGGTTCATGAAAGGGAGGTCCTGCCTGACCAACCTGAGCTCCTTCAGTTCATTTCCTGGCTACTAAATACACAGTACCAAAGAACACAAGAGAATTTAAACACCAGACTTCAAAGATTCCAGTTTTACCTCATCTTGCTGTGAATTCAATAGCTGCAGCTTCATGTGTTTCATATAGGCCATAGTAATTGGCATATTGTAATCAATCATGCTGGTCACCAACGTTGGAGGTTTTCCATTATCTGTAATAAAAATATTTATTATACATTATATTTTAATTGTGGAGGTTACTTCATCCTACTCTGCAGTCAAAGTCAGACAATTATTTCATTTAGTTCTAACTTTGGAATTTCCATCTGCTTATAAGCTATACTGAGCTAAAGAAAAATGAGAATCTTATTCAAGCCCAGAAAAATGATGAGCTCTTCCACCCTAAATTACTACAGCACATGCACTCTATCTATTTTTTACATTTAAGTCCTCATATAAACATTTCCATAGCAAAATAAATTATTTCTTCCAGATAAAATCATCTTTCTATTGAGGGTGCACATGGCATTACACTCCATCCTTAAGCATAAGCAGAAGATTCACTACCTTCCAGCTTAAGTAAATGAGATGATCTGACTTGTTGAACTGTTCCAGTCTAACAAATTTTTTATGGACTTCACTTAAACTAGGAAAATATAAATGGGTACTAGGAAGAAAAATACTTTACATCCCACTATTTGACACTGCAACTACCTTTATGATCTGCTCCATCTGGGTTTAAATGCATTCTTTTCTGGCACTCTGAGCAGCTCATTAGAAATCGTGTCACCGCTTCTCTCGGTAGGAAGGCATAGGTCTCTGAAATCTGAAACGAATAACAAAGTATAGGTGTTATTATTTAAGCTGATTGAACATGATTTAACAGAACTGATCATTATATTTCCAAACAAGGCATATTATCCTGTAATGCCAGGAAGCACAATGAAAGCATGTTCTGCATACTACGTAGCATTTCAAGGAACATCCATCCAATCTCCCTACTTAGCATTTAATGGCTAATACTAGTTGATACTAAAATAAACTTCATGCACATCAAAAGGGGTTTCATTTTCTGTTTACAGTTTTTTCAATTTCTTTTCATCTTCAGGAAAAAGGATTCATATGTCACAGGCATTCTCTCAGAGCTGTTAAAAAAAAAAGTGATCTATTCTGATCTATACATTATAGTCAATACCAATCTACTCACTATCTCAATTTTGTATTTGCATGTTTTCTGAAAATATTCTCAGGATGCCTGTGATTAGTAAAGTAGGCTAAATACATCATTTTGAATAACAGTTGTAGAATTTAGCAGGCAGTCAATTACAGAGGCTTCACCTAGAAATATCCCAAAACAGATTTCGGTTATTTCCTCATTTCAAAATAATTAGTTTTTCCAACGATATACAAGAATCTGAGGGCTTTTTCCTTTTTCTTATTTGAAGGCAGAAAGGAGGAAGCACTTACTGCTGTTTTTGAAGGCTGTATTTCTAAGCGTGTGATGCACATACTCCTAGAGGCCTTTTTGCCTTGCTGAACAGGAGCTGGAGGTGTCCTTCGTGCCAAGCTGCAATTGAGCCAGCAGCACAGCCTGCTCTTAAATCAGGCAGACTTCGCATTGGCTGCATTAAGCGTGTGGCCACACTAAAGAGAGTCATAATTCTTGGTCATAACTCGGTGCTGATGAGGCAGCAGCTGGAGCGACGTGTGGCCTGGCCCGGCCCAGCTCAAGAAGCTGTTGGGAAGCAGGAGGGAGCCCCGCGTGAGGCCACCGCGGCGCCGGGCCCTGGCGCAGCTCGTCCGCTAGGGAAGGCTGAGGGAGCTGCGTGTGTTTCGTGTGGTAAAGAGGAGGCTACAGGGCACGGGGAAATCTAATTACCGCTCACAGCTACAGGGAGAGGGGTTAAAAAATAGTGGAGAGATAACTCAGAAGGTAAAGCCAGGGACAACTGGTTTGTGCGCCCGTTTGGGGCGTCAGACTTGACATTAGGGAAAACATCATTACCAGGGGCCTAATGCAATGAGCAGGATTACCAGGGGCTGGGAGAACCTCCAAACATGCAGGTTTTCAAGACAACTAGTAGACAAAGCCATGGCTGACATGGCCTCATGCTGGAAAGAGTCCTAACCTGGGCGGGGGGTTGGACTAGAGACCTCCAGGAGTCCCTTTCAATCATCATTTTATGTGAGCCTTATCATACATTTACAAATATATATAATATATACGCACAGCAGCAATATAAGTATTGAAAAGAAGTTCTAGTTCCTGTTTTCACCAAACATGGTGAATGTTTGTCAAAGGAGATACTTCCCAAAGAAAGATGAAGTCCCATCAATAGAGATTAAATGAAGAGTCAATTGATATCTGCTTGCGTTTCACTCCCGTAAAGCTTACAGCAAGATTCACTTTCTTATCAAGCAGCAATGTTGATATGAGCCTATGGAGGAAGACAAGTGCAGAAAGATGGGGTTGGGGTGTATGAAAATGCACTCACAGAAAGGACAAGATATCCCGCCTTAATTGGATGTAAATGGAATTAAACATTGTGCAAACCAGCCATGCTGATCACAAGGCTGCCAAGAGGAGGAATGGCCTTTTTTAACTGTTACACTCTTCTCCTTGGATTCTTTTTCACTTTCCTTGTGCTGAAAGTTACATTTCCTAAAACTCCGTGGACCAAATTCAGCAGTGGCAGAGTACTTCAGAAAGGAGATGGAGTTTAAATTAGTACACTTTGCTGTGACAGGAGGTTGTCTGGAAAATGATGCATTGCAAAATAAGAATATGAATTATATCATCCTCTTTACAGCATTGCTTTTAAGCTGTGTCCTGTTGTTGTTTTCTTTTATATAACAGGAATCTTACTTTGGGGAAGAAAGGGATATTAATATAAAATCTCTCTTTTTTTTTTTCCTAAAATGTCCCTTGGCATAAATTTTCTCTCGATCTGAAACAATTTATCTGAAAATCAGTATGATGACACTAAATGAAGTTACATTTGAACAGAAGAACCTGCAAATTAAAATTACTTTTGATTATTTTTCCTGTTTTTTTAATGCCAAAACAGATGCCTATGTACCTAAGGATGGAAATACTGCTTGAACTGAGGCCTTATGAAATCTAAAAAGGAACTTAAAATCGCCTAGGACTTATCATTAAGGAAATCTGTAAGTGCACATACACAGCAAGAACTCTCACATAACATTTAACACACTTAGCACTGTATTAAAATTAATGGAGCTTACCCATGGATTCCTTAGTTTTCTGCATTTGACAGGAATGCTCCATTTATTCTAATCAAGCATCTCTGTCAATCCTCAAGCAGGAGGAAAATCCTCCACGGAAAGCAAGTGAGGTAAGCCCCAGATTTCATGGGTGTGCTATAAGGGAAGGGGGTTTTATATCTAAATTTGCCCACATGGCGGATGCTTGTGACTCCAACCTCCCACTGCAACACAGCTTTAATGATGTCCTTCCCTAAATAACAGCAGTTTTCACCATCTTCCCCTGTTTACTTTGTGATTGGAATCACTCATGCTCACAGGCCAAGACTTCTACCTACATACACTGGCAGAACACGGTGGGTATCAAGTTAGAAGTGCTATGCAGAAGAGACAATGCACAGTTTTCCTTATTCTTGCTGCTCGAATATACTCCAAAAGGTCTTTTCAATACTCCATGTCAGAAAAACGCTAGTTCCAGACAAGTTCTCAGAACCAGCTGTGGCCTCTCTCAGAACCAGCTGTGGCCTTGGCACGTCCAACCAGATCAGCTCAAGGTGGAACACCAGATCTCCCGCTGTGCACTTATGGCTCGTACTACCTTTGGTTCACAGAACTGGCTTGCATGCGAGTTTTTCAGAGCACACGGAGGCCTATGACACTTCAGAAGCAATTATATAGAAGTACTCTGGCCAGTGGTCTGACTTCATAGGGAAAAGAGTGTTTCTGTCCTCCATTCTGTCTGAAAGAAAGCAATAACGGCTCGGTCCTCACTGATACTCTTACTGACTTCAGTGGCTGCTCTTAGCTCTCTTCTCAAGGCCATCAGCTAACAAAAAAATAGTCAGATTATCTCATTCAGTAATATCCTGCAATAAAATAAAAGTTATAGCTTTTCCACAAAATAAATAAAACCCACATGCTTCTACATCTTAAGAAAGAAATAAGGCAGAGATGTGAATTCCAGTAGGGAATACTGCATTATTTACATCTATGCACTGGTGATGCTGAATTTTTGCCACGATGTGCAGAACAGGTCATGCATGCACATGTCCATGCCAATCAGAAAACAGCCACTGCCTATTTTTTATATTGATAAAGTATTCTAGAATATGATCAAAGAGGGAAATATGATGTGGACTGCTTTACAAACTAATTATCAGCATACCTCCTTCAAATGTGAGACTTTAGAAGCATCCTTATGTTATTGCTTATTTTTACTGGTGGTTCTACTGCACATTAGCATAGTTTCTATTGCTTGTAAAAAAAAAAAAAAAGAAAAAAAAAAAAAGAAAATCCTTATACTGGATATATTCTGTACCAGAGACAAAATAGAAAATAAGCATGTTGAGGTTAGTTGGTATTGTGTGCTAGATATAGCTCTTAGAGCTGAATAGCTAAATACTTTTTATACTATTAAGGGAGAAAAATATATGAAGAAAGGCCTAGACATCTGGAACTTCAAGCAAAGAGTGCCAAAACAAAATCCTGGCTGTTGTATTCCCAGAAGTTACAGGAAAGAAGCAAAACGCTTCCTAACAGCCCTGCACACCTACATATATTTTGTTTTAACTCTAAACTCAGAGATAAATAAAATCAGAGTGGGCTCCAGTGACAAAACTATCTTTTATGACTTTATTTCAGTGTTCATGAGAATTCTGTACGATAATAGATTTTGGGATATACCAATGCAACCAAATCGACACCTAACAATTAAGTCCCTCTAAATCTGTAATTAACCTACATGCTATTTACTGGCTCCCATAAAGAGCATAACTACCATAAGGCAAGTAATCCAGTACCTGAGCATGCAATCTGATTTACTTCGGAGCTGAGTGAAATATGCCCTAATTACCTATAAGAACTAGCTTGCATTCCTATTGCATCACTTGTGAGAGGGAAAAAAAAAAAAGCAAAAACTTTATGATTCTTAATATTTAGAGTATTGTAATTCCGGATGTTATGATGATACAGCATTCAAAGCTACATTTTTACTTTGAAAATTAACAAGTTCTAACTGGAAGGCAGATTTTAGGACACATATGGCAGAGCAGGAAAGACAAGTGTGAGGAAAGGGAGTGAAATTTTGCAGATGAACCTATTAACCCCTAAAGCATTAACATACAGGATGTATGTTTAGTCTGCAAGATATGATGTGTCAGTGTCAGAACAGAGGGATTTGGGGTTGTGCGTGTATGTTTTTTTTAACTATTTGGGCGGGATGAAAGGGCAAATGATCCAAAGAAGTATTCAAGAAGGGAAGGGAAGACAGTGAAGATGATAACATGTCCTGGCCCCACAGCCATCAAACCAGGTGGTAGAATCTGATTTCTTGATGACAGAAGGGCAAACCAGCCAAGTAAAATCCTCCCTTTTACTCAGTAGGGGGTCAGAATAGGCTGCTAGAATAGGCAAGCAGATATATTACTGCTGAGCGTTTTATCAAGTGCTCACTGCCTTGGTATACTGGGGAAAACGTTGTTCCCTCTCATAATAAACTTCTTTGCAGCTTTTTTCCCTCCTTGCATAATAAAACTAGCTTGAAAGGAAAGCGTTAGGAAACAGCTGTTAGCTGGTCGGGTGCCAGGAGACTCAAAACTCGCC